CTCTTGCTCCTCTCCGCCGCCGCCGGGCTGGCTTGTTGTCGGGAACCATTTTCGTTAATTGAGAGGACGCCGCGGGCAGCGGTGATTTGAATCGCGCGCGCCCCCTTTTTAGAAAAGCAGTGTTGGTGATTGGATGATGGCTAACAGGCTGAGAATAATGGTGTGTGAAATATTTTGTTTCAAAAAAAGTTGTGTTTTATGTGTTGAGCGTACACCCAGAAAAATCGTTTCTTGTTTCAGGTACATTTTTCCTTGTTCCAAGTGCACGTTGACACAAGAAATTTACTCTTGAAACAAGCTGATATTTTCTTTCAAATAAGAGGAGATTCTTATTCCAAATCTTATTGCCTCGTTGTAATGGTGAATTGAATATTGTGTCAGCTTGCACTTGAATCAAGAAACTATTTCTCTGGGTGTATGTGTATTCATTGTATCCACTGCAGTGGCTTTGGCGCCTTTACGGATGAAGGGAGTAGGCAAACCCACAACACCAGAGCGCATTCAACGTTACTTCCCCGGTCGCGCGGTACCTGTCTTGTGCACTAACTGCTGTTGCGGCCCCGGTTGTTTGATCTATTTCGTTCCTGGTTTGCGCCCTGCACCGCTATGGCCCGCGCTGGTCCGGACGCTATCACATGCGCAGTTCGGCGCGCGCATGGGTGGGGGTTGCGGGGGCCCGGCCTCAGCCCGCTGGTGGGTGGGGCGGGGGCTGCGGGGTGGTGGGGGAGGTCGGCCGCGCGGAGCTGTGTGGGGCTCGCTGCTCACGGCCCCCGCCGTGCTGAACCACTTGTTGGCAGAGAGCTGGTGACGTCGGTGGTGTAGGCCGAGCCCTGCCGCCGCTCACACTTGAGGCAGCACTAGCAGCAGCTCAAGTGTGTGAGTGTGTGTGAGAGTGAGAGGGAGAGTGTGTGTGGGTGGGTGCGCGCCCGCGTGTCGGTGTGAGTGAGTGCGTGCGGTTTCTCGTCCTGACATCGCGTCGGTCCTCGTCGGTCCGATTAGTCTGAGCCGCGGATACTCAGAGGCAGACGCCCTCGAGGACTCGACTTGGATTGCCTCCTTCCTCCTTGTGGGCCGCTGTCCCGGCTCCAGTCAACAGGTACGGTAATTCCGTTTAGCTCAGTCTCGATTTTAATAAGACGAGGGGAAAGGGGGGAATCTTTTAGCTCGCTGTAACCAATCGCTTCCCCTTACGGTTCCGGTTTGTCGTGGCTGCGCCGCCACTTTGACCTCCCGCGAGCAGCTCCATAGTGAGCGCTTCTCATAGCGTTAGTGTGCACGGATTAATGTCTTCTTTACTTGGCAAATTACAAAAGAAAATGGGGATGCTTCGCAAATTAAAAGCAATTGATTTGCACTTACAATGACAGGAGGGGATCGCCTTTGGAAACTGCGAAGGATCCAGCTTTGTTATTTTTGAAGCATAGCCACTTCGACCTGTAAATGTCAGGGCTGCTAACAAATCAAAATATTAGGGCACAGAACAGAGTTTAATATCATTCCCGAAATCAAAACATGCATCTAGAAATCCCTTACGCAAAGGGCAGGTGGCCGCCGCCCGCACCTGGCCTCTAATAATGGCCGGGTGGGGCCGGCCGCGCGGCTCTGGGATCACCCGGGGACGCTACGGCCTCGCTCCCACCAAGTCCCCGTGGTCTAGTGGTCAGCGTGGCAGCATCGCGACCCAGAAGTCCGAGGTTCAACTCCGCGTCCGGTAAAGTATTTAGTAAATAGAATTGTGAACTTAAATGAAAATTACGAGGAGTGAGGGTGCAGTAAGAGTAGGATCCAAGTCCACAGCCCCAACAATATCATTTTTCCTTTGAAAAAATCGTACGGGAAAAATCCCACACCTGTCAAGGAAATCTGCTACACTCGTATGGGATTTTTCCCACACACTCGTATAGGAAAAATCCTACACTTGTCTCGTAGATCTGCTGCACGCGTATGGGATTTTTCCCACATATTCGTATAGGGAAAATCCTACACTCTGTATATGTAATTTGCTTCAGACACATTTATGGGATTTTTCCGACACATATTTTTTACAGTGCACTGCTGCTTTGTAATGAAGAAGCCCTGCTTTGGAATTATTGCTTTGTAATTACGAGGAATCCATTTCTTCGCAGCTCTACAAAGCAAAGCTTCGTGCCCGCCCCGTGCGTAACATTACCTATTACTTTCTTCTCGGCTGTGGCTGCCCGCTTCGCTCTTGTCTCCTCTCCACCTGATTTGTTTGTGCGCTCCACTCTATTTTAAGTCGCATGCCATCGCACTTTTCCCTCGTATTACAAACAGGCTTGTGCATTTGTATGAAATCCTTCTAATGAGTTTTCACTGCCACTACTTTCAAATATCGGACGCCCCAGATACCACTTTAAAACTCGTGGCACACAAGGAAAAATACTAGAAAGAAATTGTACACTCACTTCGAGAGTGGGGGACCTCTCGCCTAATATATCTGTAAAATTTGTTGTTCCAGTCATTCCATCTGGTTTATAAGGTCAAATAAAGTTAAAAAACGTTTAGTTTTTGTAAAGAAGGGGGCAGGGGGCACCAACATCAGTTCATTAAATGACTTAGTCCAAGAAACCCAACCACGGTCGAGCTCCCTCTGTAAACTCTCAACTCTGGAGGAAGCGACTTTCTTTGTTAATTGCACCTGACACCAGATTTACCATAGTTACTTCCAGAGCTTTTTCCGCGGGTTCGTATATTCGTCGAAAGGTTTTCCTCGGTTTTGCACTTTTATCCTGGTGCCTCGACAGCCGAATGCGGCGCGCGCCATTCGACCTCCTGCACCATTCGATCTGCGGTCGGGGGAGCGGGTCCCATGGGAGAGACGTAGACGGGCACGTCCTGGAATGTAGGACTGGGGATGCCACTGTCACTGATATCTCAAGGCCTCGGTCGCCTCCTTGGAATGAGTGACGCCTCCCCCGACGTCCCCCAACCCTTCCCCCTCCCGCCCCCTTCATCAGCATTCTGCGACTGGTCGCGTCGCTCTGCCTGGACTAAAGTTTATAGAACCCCCTTCTCCAGCCCGCCTGCCTCCCCCGCCCGCCTGGCAGCCCCAATGCATTGCGATTGATTTCCCCCGATTGTTTTGTGGAGCGTGCGGTGGCGGTGGTCTGACGTGCGCCATTTTCCCTGCCGCGCTGCGTTTCTCTCTACTATTTATTTTTTCCAACCCCGCTCACGATTTATTTATTGAAATACGGGTCGCAGCGCTACATCCCAGGTTCTTCCCGCGATTGATGCACACATCGATTTGCTTGCGCAGGAGCGAATATACCGGGTAAAACTTTGTAAGTTGGCGCACGTCTTTAAAAGCGGAAACTCATTTTACTGCGTCCAGGTGTGTAGTGAGGGGCGGGTGACTGAGCTCCCTCCCGGCCCTAGACAGTAGCCTAAAGATGCGCAATGTGAGCTACAAAACTCTTAAATGTCAGCAACTCTACTCCCACCTCCCTCCCTGTGTCGATCCCTACTACGTCCCTGGCTGTACTACTGGGTTAAGATAGAATCGTTGCCTTTCAACTGAGAAGGGGACGCGGTGATACTAACTGTAAAAAATCAATTTTACATCGGTACAAGCGATAACAGCGGAATAATACGATATGGCAGCCGCTTCTCTTTTATGTGCCCCCCCCCCCCTTCCCGGTCCCGTCGTCCCGTCAGCAGTAATTAGACTCGGGCCCCGGCCACCCGCAGGTGAAACATTTCGCCAAGTTGGAATAACGTCACGTTATTTAATTCGGGCCTCCGGGGCGCTTGGAATTCTCTCTGCCGAACAGACCGCCTATATATTACTCCGCTGCGGGGCAAAGCGGCGGGGGAGCAGAGAGAGTGAGAGTGTGTGAAAGAGATGGAGTTAGAGAGAGAGAGAGAGAGAGAGAGAGAGAGAGAGAGAGAGA